AATATCGGCAACCACTTCAAGTGTGGAAGGAGCATGAGTTATGGGATTTTGTGTCTCAAACATATAGCTTTGAATGTCATCCATTGTTTCTGCAGTGGAGTTTGTTGGAGAGTTTTGTGAGAAGGTAATTGTTTCTGCAATGGAATTGGTTGGAGAGTTTTGTGGAATAAAGGTTTTCTTATGAGGGGGGGGAGAGGAGACTGGTGTCTCAGGAACAAAGGTATAGGTAGGTGGAGGTGATTGTGCTGTAGGGGAAGAAGGGTTAGAACGTTTAGTCTGTCTACTGCGGGTAGTGCGGGGAGGGAGAGGGGTTAGTGTTGGGGCTGTAGTTCAGATAGGAGCTGTGGTTGAGATTGGGGTGTCTGGGTTTAGAGTGGCAAAGTAATTGGTCTGAGGGATGTAGAATGTAGAAGTGGAAATGGGGACATTTTTGGGTGGAGGGGGAAGGGCTGAGCGGACGATGTTGCTAGAATATGGAGTATGAGAGAAACCTTGTCGACGTGCTTCCTGTCTGGCTTCACGTAAAGTGAGACCATTTTTGTATCAGAGAGTTGCTACTTCAGATTCAAATTTGTAAGTGGAACAGCCTCTATAAAATACATTATGGGGGCCGCCGCAGTTAGCACATGTTCGTGTTTGTGCTGAGCAGTTTGATCGATTATGACCAGGTTGGGCACATATGGGGCATCGGTCTGTGGAACGGCAATGTTTGGCAGGATGTCCAAAGCGCCAACAGTTTTGACATTGACGGGGAGGGGGTTGGTATGGTCGAACAAGGAGGGATTGTCCACCAATGTAGATACGTAAGGGAAGGTCATGTGTACAGAAGGTAATTTTGGCAATATTGGTCGGATTCTTTCGTTGACCTTTAGGAGGAATGGTGTAGCAATGTACTGATTTCACATCTTGGTCTTTGAGGCATCCTAATAAGTCTTCTCCAGTCTGACCAATCTTTGGTATCGACTGGGCAGTTTGCTGGGGAGAGACAGTTCCGGTACAGGTATTAAGGGTTGGATGAGGTTCTGCAGGAATGGGGTTGCCAGAATGATCAGTTAAATTTGACAGTGCTATAGATTCAGTTTCTGATCTGACTGTTACCAGACGGGAGCGATCGCGTCTGGTATAAAAAGGGACTCTGCCTACTTGTTTTTGGAGGCATTGTTGAAAGAGAAGAGTGTTGCCTGAATAAGGAGCTGTAGCAGGGATCACGAAAAAACGGTCCCATTTAGCTGGGCTAAACAGAGTATTTAAGATATCTGTAGGGTTGGTGGTGGTGGATGGTCGGGGACGTGTGGAAGAGGGAGTATTACGGAATGATGGAGAATAAGTTTGCAAGGTAGTAATAAGGGGGGATTGGTTGTTTGATGAAGGTTGCAGGGGTGGAGTTGAATTTGAGGAAGTTGGGTGGGTAGGAATGTCTTCTCGAGATTGAGTCTCTGCTTGGGTGGGTAATGCACTAGTAGGCATTAAGGAGTGGACAGTAGTTTCAGTGTTCGGAGCCGTGGTCAAAGGAGAGCCTGGGTTGGGGCTATTTGATAAAGGGGCTAGCCTCATAGCCTCTAATAAAGGGATTACATTTTCATTACTGGTCATGGGGAACCTGGATTATGTAAATAGGCCTAATCGGTCCACCTCCTTTCGCTACTGAAGGTAAGGGCTAGATTAGTCAGGAGTACCGTGCCCATGGTTCCCGCAGGCCGTTCAGGACTGGCACTAGGTCAGCCTTTCATCCTCTCAGCACGGCTCTCACACCTTAGGAAGTAGATAGCAGAAGGGGATGGAGAAGAGACGGAAACAAAAGCTGGAGAGAAAAAAGACCATGCAAAATTAGTTGAGTCGAGGGCTGAGGCCCTAGGCAGGGGAGATCCCTGTATTGGGTCTCAGTCTTCGTCTCTTAAGCCCCCCCACGACAACAACGGGCAAGGGATAAGGGGGGTTCAGTTTTGTTGCTTGTTTTGTGTTCCTTGTTTTTGTTCTTGTTCTTTTTAAAGTAATTTAGTGGTAATGTTTGGTACCTTCCTTTTTTTAACTTCATAATAAAGTAAATCTCCCTCAGGTACTGCCCTCATCCCCGTTTTTAAATCATTTCACCTCGTCCTCTGACGCTTCGTGACCGCCACCCCGACTCATTCCATCTCATTATCCTTGCCATAGCGTCGATCCTCATCCTCATCCTACCCTCAACATCCTGCTGGTTTCGGTTTCCGACACGTGGCGTTTGCTGCTAGTACTCGTGCCAGGACCACAAATCCTTTAGCGTAAGGATTTGTGCGAGCCGAGGAAAGAAGCGCCACGGCCAGCAGAGTTAATCCAATCGTGGTGGGGCCGCCAAGGCCGTGCCCTCTCGTAAGTCCTGCGGCCGAAGGAGAGAAATCTCCTCTCGACCCGGGCGAGGAGGGTCTGCCCTTGCCTCGCGGCCTCACCCGAGCTTCACCCCGCTTCAGCAGTGATGGTTAGCTGAGGAACAGCCCAGGAGCCACGGCCGAAGAGGCCGTGCCCAGAGCATACCCCAGATGGCGCCAAAAACCTGCTAACTTCTTTCCCCCTCCCCCTCAGTTAGCCGAGAGGCTCCGTGTTCGCCATAGCGAGGCTCCACTCCCCGTGGGAAAATTGTGGCGAGGCGAGCCGCGCTCAAGGTCGTGGGGTATTCCCCGCGCCACGAGTCGCGGCCTTGCCTCGCCATACGATCCCGCGGGGTGTGGCCGCGCGGTGAATACGCGAGTCTGCCGATGGCGCTGAGCCCCTCGATCCTTTTCCTCTTTCAACAAACCCACTACAGCTATTACCTAGATCTTTACCCTGCATGCTGGGTCAAGCCCCGGCTCCTTTTTCTTCAACTAAAATTCATTTTCCTCCTTATCCTTCCCCTATCCCCACTCTTCCTCCCCCCCCCTCTTCTTTACACTTCTCTCTCTCGCCGGAATCATCATTCGCCTCACGACGGTTGCTGACATCACTTGTGCTTGGTTCATCACCAAATAAAGAGATAAAAATCCAGTTCAGTTTTATAACCTCAACATAATTGCAGCCTCCGTGGCCACCAGCCATGGTTCGTGTTTGTGTTGTTATGTGCCTCGAGGTTGTTTGTGTGCGCTCCTTTGTAAATTTTAGAATCAGAGAGGGTAAGTGTATGAGTGAGAAAGAGAGAGTGAAAAAAAGAGAGGAAGAAGAGAAGAAGGGAGGGGAGGAAGGAGGGAAATTAAGAGAGAGAGAGAGAGAGAGAGAGAGAGATTATATGATTATAATAATGATGATAATGATAATGATGATGCTGATAAAAATGATAGCAGTGATAATAATGATAGCAACTATAATGGTGATAGCAATCACACCCGAATTACATTGATAATGATAATAATGATAATAGCAATAGAAATGGTGATAACCTTTATTATTACAAAAATAATTATTATAATTGCCATTTTTATGATAACTGTATTATGGCTGTTGTTATCATAACTATATTTATTCTCATTCATCAATTTTATCATTATTGTTATTATCCTTATTATCATCATCATCCTTAGTATCATTACAATTATCATTGATATTATTTTCATCATAACCATTATCATCATTATTGTTATTATTATAATTATTATTATCATTATCATCATCATTACTTTTATCATTATCATCATTATTATCATTATAATGATTATTCTTATTATCATTATTGGCATTATTAGCATTTTCATTATCATCACTATCATCATAATCACTATTTCCGTTTTCATTATTTTCATTATTTTTTTCCTTATTTTCATAATTTCTTACCATAAACAATGTTATTATGAATTATGCTACAACTAATCTGGTATCATTTAACTTCAAATTTATAGATTTAAATTGTTGATTATGATTATTACTTATGCAATTATTTGTCTAGTTTTATTCAATAATTTATTTATGTTACACAGATGGGTGAGATTTTATTTATGTTACAATTTATGGGCCGTGAGTTTGATTCAATAATTTATTTACAATTTCAGATGGGCCGTGAGTTTGATTCCAATTTCAGATGGGCCGTGAGTTTGATTCAATAATTTATTTATGTTACAATTTCAGATGGCCGTGAGTTTGATTCCAATTTTGAGTTATTCAATAATTTATTTATGTTACAATTTCAGATGGGCCGTGAGTTTGATTCAATAATTTATTTATGTTACAATTTCAGATGGGCCGTGAGTGTTACAATTTCAGATGGGCCGTGAGTTTGATTCCGTGAGTTTGATTCAATATTTATTTATGTTACAATTTCAGATGGCCGTGAGTTTGATTCAATAATTTATTTTATGTTACAATTTCAGATGGGCCGTGAGTTTGATTCAATAATTTATTTACAATTTCAGATGGGCCGTGAGTTTGTTACAATTTCAGATGGGCCGTGAGTTTGATTCAATAATTTATTTATGTTACAATTTCAGATGGGCCGTGAGTTTGATTCAATAATTTATTATGTTACAATTTCAGATGGGCCGTGAGTTTGATTCAATAATTTATTTATGTTACAATTTCAGATGGGCCGTGAGTTTATTCAATAATTTATTTATGTTACAATTTCAGATGGGCCGTGAGTTTGATTCAATAATTTATTTATGTTACAATTTCAGATGGGCCGTGAGTTTGATTCAATAATTTATTTATTACAATTTCAGATGGGCCGTGAGTTTCAATAATTCAATTTCAGATGGGCCGTGAGTTTTATTCAATAATTTATTTATGTTACAATTTCAGATGGGCCGTGAGTTTATTCAATAATTTATTTATGTTACAATTTCAGATGGGCCGTGAGTTTGATTCAATAATTTATTTATGTTACAATTTCAGATGGGCCGTGAGTTTTATTCAATAATTTATTTATGTTACAATTTCAGATGGGCCGTGAGTTTGATTCAATATTTATTTATGATGTGAGTTTGATTCAATAATTTATTTATGTTACAATTTCAGATGGGCCGTGAGTTTGATTCAATAATTTATTTATGTTACAATTTCAGATGGGCCGTGAGTCAATAATTTATTTATGTTACAATTTCAGATGGGCCGTGAGTTTGATTCAATAATTTATTTATGTTACAATTTCAGATGGGACGTGATAAGCCGCAGGGCGGAAAGCGCAAAGGCCTCCTTAAAAGTGTGGTAAGTTTTATGAGCCTTTTCTTATTCACTTTCTTCATATTGCTTGAGTTTTGTTATCGTAATATGACAGAAGAAATTATATATATTTCACTGTGTGACCTTCCTTTCGTCTCCTCTTTCTAATTTTCTCTCTGCCTATTTCTCGCTCCCCCTCTCTCTCTTTACCCCCCCCCCCCATCTCTTTCTCTTTCTGATTTTCTTGCTTCGATTACCTGAAACTATTGGATTTCTCTTCATCTTTTCAGAAAGAAGCTCATCTGGATGCAAGGAATTCCAGAGAAGATGAAGTTAGTAATGTTACAAATATAATGAAAATATGCGATATGTATGTGATAATAGTGAAAATGTTGCAACCTTTTCCGCTCAAACGCACCTCTCTTATTCACTGCATAGGTGTCGGGTAAGCTTTGTACCTGAATTTTTTTATCATTTCAGATTATGAGGAGGCACGAACAGCAGGAGCACCAGCAGCGGCTGTTGCAGCAGCAGCAACAGCAGCAACAGCAGCAGCAGCAGCAAAGGATAGAAGAACGAAGAGCCGCTGAACGGCGAGAGGTGGAACAGCGGGAGGAGCAAATCCAGCGCCATCGGCAGCGGGCAGAAGAGGACCGACTTCGGCGAGAACGCCAACGCGGAGAAGAGGGCCGGCAACATCGGCGCTGATGTAACCCTGGTGGTCAAGGTAATAATGATGATAGCACAGATGATAATGATAATAATGATTAATAAATCATAATAATAGTAATCATAATAGTAATAATATTAATAATAATAATAATAATAATAATAATAATAATAATAATAATGATAATGATAATAATAATAATAATGATAATAATAATAATAACAATAATAATGATAATAATGATAATAATGACACAGAATAATGATGATAATAACAAAACAGAAAACTAGATGCATGCATAACAAGACTAAAACAAATACGACTAAAACGCCATTTACACGGAATAAAAATAGGAAACGATCTTTTTTTGCAGATAATGTGCAAATCAAGATCCCGTATTCCCCCAACGAAATCAGCTGTGCCAGATGGGCAGTCTATTTTTTTTTTTTTTTTTCATATATGTAAATTCTCAATTTGAAAGTAGTAATTCCCTATAGATTAGTGCAAGAAAATGTGTAAATAATTTCTCTTTTGTCGAGGTAGCCATACAACCTTGCATGCTTTATTTTACTTCGTTAATGCTTTAAAACTTGCCTTGCAATGGAAAACCATGTATTGTTTAATGGTAACTAGATTATTACTGCATGTTTCATAAGAAACAATGGAAGAGAAAAGAAAAAAATATGTCATTTCTGTCTAATGTAAAATGTAAATGTATTGTAGTGAAATCTTACCTGTTCATTTATATATGTATTTTTAATTTTTGATTATTTTAAGATCCATTTTATCTATATATTTTCCAACGATTTTTTATTTTTCCGGTTTTTTTACACCCACTTTTTACTGTGCTTTTATCTTTTACCACGTTTTATGTCTGTGAATCTTGCTTGTCATCTCTGTGTGTCTTTAGTCTCTTTCATTCAGTCACAATAAAATATAAAATGAAAAAGTTTTTCAGTCTATCCTTTCCATTCCAACCAGCCCCAGATCAAGGTGGACCCATACGGATACTTAAGATAAGTATTAAGTCTTCTGTATATGTGCAAATATCCCAAACCATTAACACGAATCCTGAATTTTGCTGCACGCCAGATTTTTTTCTCAATCCTTTTCACGTTTATAAAGTATTTTAGTACATTAACTTTTACCCTTTTCTTGTTTAACTATTATTCCTCTTGTTCTTTTATTATCCGTTTTATTTCCTTTTCTTAGCTTTTATTCTTACCCGTTGCTTTTATTCGAACTCGCTTTATCTTTTCTGTTTTTATTCCTTGTTTTATCTCGTTTGCTTTAATTCCTACTCATCTCTTGTTTTATTCTTACATATGTGCCATTAGTCTTTCTTGTTCAATCTCTTTTCTGCGCTTTTATTCTTATTTTCTCTCGTTTGTTTTTATCCTTACTTGTTTACTGTGGTCTTACCTGTTTTCTTTACTTTATTTAAATTTACTTTGTCACTTTTCATTGTCTGTGCTGCCTTTGAGGACATTGTTCTTAGCATCTGTTTGTCCGCAGGTGCTGCCTAGACCCCTCTGCACGACCTCCATGCCGTCCACGTTATCTCCGCCGGGACTCTGCTTCGACGCCGGCCCCTGTCGGCACACAACCTTCGCCGTCGGAAGTCGCCGAGAGCCGGACTACAGCCTGTCAGCGGCTCAACCCGGAGGGCAATCCTCCGGACTGTCGGCTCGATGGTGAAGTCCAAGCACGCCAAGGGGTCGCGTGCCCCTTCTCCAACGGAGGAGCCACCGAAGGAAGGGCCCTGTGCTGCACCCGCCCTGCTGTTCACCACCGACACTGATCCATCACGGTTAAGAAAGTTTATGAAATAATACTGAAATGATTATTAAATTTAACTAATGTGGCAATATTATCTTAGATGTATATTAATATTTAATTGAAATAGGTTAGTTTGTAAGTGTATGTCTATTTGATTCAAGTATTTGCTTTTCTTGTAATTACTATTCATTTGTATAATATCTAATTGATTTATTAACTCGAAATAGATAATTGTTTGCTTTCAGAACTATTTTAATTTGATAATACTTGGTTATTAGAATATAATGTAATGTTGAATGTTTTTATCGTTTCATGACTGATAATTACATAACAGTGTCATAATTGTCTAGTTGTATGTATAGTGTCAAGATCCTAAAATAATGTCTTGTGTTTTATATAATCTTTGATATTGTGGTTTTATTATATTACACTAATAATGAACTAATGTATTGATTTTCATAAAGATTTAACTCAATCCTTGAATTACACTAATTTACTTTGTCACTTTTCATTGTCTATGCTGCCTTTGAGGACATTGTTCTTAGCATCTGTTTGTCCGCAGGTGCTGCCTAGACCCTTCTGCACGACCTCCATGCCGTCCACGTTTCTCCGCCGGACTCTGCTTCGACGCCGGCCCCTGTCGGCACACAACCTTCGCCGTCGGAAGTCGCCGAGAGCCGGACTACAGCCTGTCAGCGGCTCAACCCGGAGGGCAATCCTCCGGACTGTCGGCTCGATGGTGAAGTCCAAGCACGCCAAGGGGTCGCGTGCCCCTTCTCCAACGGAGGAGCCACCGAAGGAAGGGCCCTGTGCTGCACCCGCCCTGCTGTTCACCACCGACACTGATCCATCACGGTTAAGAAAGTTTATGAAATAATACTGAAATGATTATTAAATTTAACTAATGTGGCAATATTATCTTAGATGTATATTAATATTTAATTGAAATAGGTTAGTTTGTAAGTGTATGTCTATTTGATTCAAGTATTTGCTTTTCTTGTAATTACTATTCATTTGTATAATATCTAATTGATTTATTAACTCGAAATAGATAATTGTTTGCTTTCAGAACTATTTTAATTTGATAATACTTGGTTATTAGAATATAATGTAATGTTGAATGTTTTTATCGTTTCATGACTGATAATTACATAACAGTGTCATAATTGTCTAGTTGTATGTATAGTGTCAAGATCCTAAAATAATGTCTTGTGTTTTATATAATCTTTGATATTGTGGTTTTATTATATTACACTAATAACTAATGTATTGATTTTCATAAAGATTTAACTCAATCCTTGAATTACACTAATTTACTTTGTCACTTTTCATTGTCTCTGCTGCCTTTGAGGACATTGTTCTTAGCATCTGTTTGTCCGCAGGTGCTGCCTAGAC